GTGACGCCACGCGTCCGTCAGGCGGCCGAAGAAGCGCTGAGTGGAGTGCGGGCCCCCGCACTGCTCACCGGCGCGGTCGCCGGTACGGAGGACGTAGGTGCAGGGACCAGTACCCCCACCGCGCTGACGCGCAGCGTACCACTCACGAAGCTGCTGAGGGGACAGGGTCTCACGACTGCACTGCTGCTGCTGGCGCGGACCACCACCGGAGCCACTCCTCTGCGCAGAGCCGCGACCAGCTCCACTGCTGCCGCCGTCGCCTCCACCTCCTCCGCCGCCTCCGCCACCTCCGCCGCCTCCGCCACCTCCGCCGCCTCCGCTCCCTCCGCCACCACCGCCGCCTCCTCCGCCTCCACTGCTGCCACCGACACCTCCACCCCCGCCACCACTCCCACCACCACCCCCACCCCCTCCACTGCCTCCACCACCACCTCCACCGCCCGCGCCAGCCCCTCCACCGCCCTTGCCCCCCTTGCCCTTGCCGGTGCAGCGTCTCCCGCTAGGGGCAGACGCAACGCCGACCGACTCGAAACCAACGAGGTCGGCCGCAGCAGCAAAAGCAACAGAGGGCAAGAGGGGGGAGGGGGAACACCCCTCAAAGACGGGGGTGCGAGGGTCACCACGAGAGGCTCCTACAGTGACTATGCTCTTCTCTGCTGCTAGGAGGCGCTCCTCGAGGAGGTCAACGGTGAGTGTGGTGGGGCAAACTGAGAGGAAGTGGTCCCTGACTAATCAAAGGGAGTCATGGAGCCGGGATACTATGTAGTAGAGGGTGATGTACATGGGGGGGGGGGTTCTTGGCGCAGAACTCAGCAGGAAGCGCAGCGCGGTAGCGAGTGTCACTAGTGCGGAGGTGCGTAATGAGGTCAGCGACTGTGGGAAAGGCAGCAAGGTCAGGGAACAGGTACAGCAGCATGAGGCGGCTAAGCGCAGCAGTGGTAGGGGAGGAGTAGCGTGCAACTACAGCGTCGTACAAGGTCTTAGCAATCTTGTACTGGCTAAAGTGCGCACGCTCAATGGTCGGTAAGTGGCGACGCACAGCAAGGCGGGCAGCAGCGTCGCGTGTGGCCCACTGTGAGCGAACAGTGGTGTCAGCAGTAGAAGGCGGGGCAGGAGAGGCACCAGAGGTGAGATCGAACAAGGAGAGTCCGTCTGCCCTATCGCACTGTAGGAACAGCTGGAGGTCATCGACCCAGACCTCAAAGTCAACAGCACGACCCTCAGCATCAAAGGTAAGGACACTGGGGGTAGCCATGACTGCAGTGGCCTGGCAGGGAGTGATCTCACCAGTCCGAGTAAGTAGGGCCGGGGCGCGCCGGTATGAAGAGTAGTGGCTCGACGGCAGGGCGGCTCGGCAGCTCGGCTGTTGGGCGGCTTGGCGGCTCGGTTGCTGGGCGGCTCGGCGGCTCGGCTGCTGGGCGGCTCGGTTGCTGGGCGGCTCGGCGGCTCGGCTGCTGGGCGGCTCGGCGGCTCGGCTGTTGGGCGGCTCGGCTGCTGGGCGGCTCGGCTGCTCAGCTGCTGGGCGGCTCATCGGTGAAGAGGCCGGTAGAGGCGGCGACGAGGCCGCTAGGGGCGGCGACGGGGCCGCTAGGGGCGGCGAGGTGGCTGCGAAGGGGCGGCGACAGGGCCACTAGGGGCGGCGACGGGGCCGCAGAGGGGCCGCAAGGAGCCTAGAGGGGCGGCGACGAGGCCGCGAAGGGGCCGTAAGGGGCCTAGAGGGGGCGGCGACGGGGCCGCAAGTGGCGGCGACGGGGCCGCGAAGGGGCCGCGAGGGGCCTAGAGGGGCGGCGACAGGGCCGCTAGGGGCAGCGACGGGGCCGTGAAGGGGCCGCAAGGGGCTTAGAGCGGCGGCGACGGAGCCTAGAGCGGCGGCGACGGGGCCGTGAAGGGGCCGCGAGGGGCCTAGAGCGGCGGCGACGGGGCCTAGAGCGGCGGCGACGGGGCCGTGAAGGGGGGCCGCGAGGAGCCTGGAGGGGCGGCGACAGGGTCGCTAAGGACGGCGATGGGGCCGCTAAGGGTGGCGCGAGGGGCCTCTAGGAGGGCGCGACGTGAGGGCGGCCTACGGGGCACGCCTCGGGCAGGAAAAAAGATCGTGTTAGTTGGTGGGCCCTGAGATGCGTTCCCACGAGGGAACCTGCTCTATACCATGTGAAGAATGAGGAATGAGTTGACTAGGCAGAATGTGGGTACAAGTAGGAAACCTAGAAATGTTGTACCCTATAGTGTCTACCCCACTACAGCCTAGATAGACCATAGCATATATGTTTGACAGCCGGTGCAGTCAAGAATGTCAAAGTCTATGACGTAAACTCCGTTTTCGGCGTGCGCTCGACCGATCTGCTTGCGCGTCTTGTTCGGCATCGTAAAGTGGACTAAAATGTCACGTGTCTTGGGGTCGGTGCTGAGGTCGACCCCGCAGTCCATGAGTTGCACCGCTGAGAGGAGATTGAAGCGTAGCTTCTGCACGATCAGCTCGTCGTTCAGCGTGATGTGCGTCTTGCTCCTTTGGGCCTTGAGCACAACGATGCCTTGCGCGCTTGCGTGCAAGCGCGTGTTGTTCGCCACGGTGACATAGGTGACGGCAGGGGTGGCGACGGCGTTGGATATGTAACGCTCGGAGCCCACCATATGCTGCCCACAGCAACTATCCAGGTACCACGTGTTGTTGCGCCTATTGTCGTTACGTACGAGCAGCAGTCACGGAGTAACGATGTGCGGTGTGTCAACCTTGAGGAACTGTTTGCGCGCGATCCAATCGATCGGTGCCACCCGCGCGTCAAATATGTGCGGAGGACTCTCAAGCAGCGGGATTGGGAGATTCCAATCTTGGGCGTCATCGTCGCTGAAGTCGTGACGCGTGTTGAACGGGTTGTTGTTTGAGAATGCTCCGATTGGTTGAGGTGCTGGCTCAGGCGACGGTGAGCGAGCGCGAGGACGACGCGATCCGCTTGTCATTGCCATATTTCCCATGACATTGCGGACGAAAGCTGACTGTGGCTATTGTTGCTGCTGATGCTAAACCGTTGGGTTCAGGTTGCGCGAAGGGGGTTGATACCCCTCGGCTGGACGCGAGTCATTCCGTGCGTCTTGTCGGCCGGACCAGGTGCTCGGATTGGTCTGACGAGGGCGAGATTGGGACTTGCATCGATCTGCCAGGTGCCCGAAATTTCTGCAAATTTTGCAGTAAAGGCGCCGCGGCCGTCGCTCTTCAATGTTGTCGAGGTAGAAGGCAAGGCGTTCCCGTTCTCGTCGTGCCGCTGGTCGCTGCTAGTCCATATCCCGTTGTTCGACGAGAAGGGCGGCGCATAGGGCGGCCTCCGAGATGACCCCCTGCTTTCGAAGGAGCACCTTGTAGGGCCTCCACTCTGGGCTGAGTCCTTGGAGTACAATATTCACGAAGATCTCTTCTGAGATCGTACTCCCAAGTTTTGCGATCTGATCGCGTAAGTTCCGACAGCGATAAAGGGGACTGTTGGCCTTCTCCCCTGGGACCATTCTTGTCTCCAGTAGATGCTGGAGTAGGCAGCTCGACAAGACCAAATCCTTCGGTTGGTACACGCCATTTAGGTGGCGCCAAGCGTCGAGGGCTGGAGCAGAGGAAGTCTTGTATGAGCGAATGTCAAACTTATATACTTCATGTTGTGTAGGCGGTAGTGGGGTAGCCCATATGGGGTACAACCCAAATTAGGGTTTGCTACTTGTACTCCTCCATGCTGTTAGTTCACCCATTCTCGTTCATTCTGCTCACATGGTTTCAGAGCAGGTCCTAGCCTAGGACCGGTTTTTTTTTTGGGCCCACCGAACCGCGCTACCCCACGAGTCGCGCCGCCCTGTTAGTGCCGCGCCGCCCTACCTTGCCCGCGCCCCTCGCGCCGCTGAGCGCCCTGCTCTGCCCGCGCGCTGCCCGCCGCCGCGCGCCCTGTCCTGCCAGCGCGCCGCCAGCAACCGTGCGCCCTGCCCTGCCCATGCGCCGCTAGCACCCGCGCTGCCCTGCCTGCGTCGCGTCGCCCGCGCACGCCCTGCCCTGCCCTACGTCGCGCTTTCCCGCACGAGCCCTGCCCTATGTTGCGCCGCCCGTGCACTCCCTACTCTGCCCTGCGTCTCGCTGCCCCGCGCGAGCCCTGCTCTGCGTGGCGCCACCCGCGCACGCCCTACCCTGCCCGTGCGCCACTCGCTGCCGCGTGCCCTGCCTTGCCTGCGCGCTGCCTGCCGTTGAGCGCCCTGCCCTGTGTCACGCCGCCCGCACACGCCCTGCCCTGTGTTGTGCCACCCGCACACGCCCTGCCCTACCTACGTGCCGCCCTGCACACCTGAGCTCACTTCCAGCGCACCTGAGCTCGCTTACCGCACACCTGAGTCCGTTTCCTGCATACTTGAGCTCACTTCCCGCACACCTGAGCTTGCTTACCGCACACCTGAGTTCGTTTCCTGCATACCTAAGCTCGCTTCCCGCACACCTGAGTTCGCTTCCCGTACACCTGAGCTCGCTTCCCGCACGCCTGGAGCGCGCCTACTCTGCTGCTCGTGCACCACCCTGCTCTACCCATTATGGCGACTCTCGGCGTCCTCACCTTTGATCCGGAGGGGTGCCTGATAGAGTTTGATTCTTGGCACGATGTCTTACAGCTGTACTTACTGAGCGACTCTAAGGACAGTATTTCTCTGTTTGACCTCACGTCTGGAGCCTCATCCGCCCCTGCCGCCACGGCTGACAATGCGACTCGCTCACAATGGCTTACCCGTGACACTACTGCTCGCCTAGCCATTCGCAATCACCTGCCGTTAGCTGAACGCGCTCACTTTGGCCAGCACAAGACTACTAAAGCCCTGTCTGACGCCGTAGTCGATCGTTACTCCTCCCCGGCAACTACCTAGGCCGCCTGTTCCCCGAGCTGTCCGCCTTTGCCACAGTCGCTGACCTCGTCACTCGCCTTCGCACTAGTGACGTCCGCTACCGAGCCGCGCTTCCCGCCGAGTTCCTCACCAAGAACCCTCCTCCCATGTACATCACTCTCTACTTCATAGTCACCCGCCTCCCTGACTCTATTGGCACTGTCGGGGACCTCCTTCTCGCCATGGACCCCACGGACCTCACTGTCGACCTGCTCGAAAAGCACCTCCTTGCATCTGAGACTAGCATAGTCGCTGTAGGTGCTTCTCGTGGCACTCCTCGCACTCCCTTCTTTGAGGGGTGCTCGCCCTCCCCCCTTCTCCCCTCAGTCGCCTCTATTACAGCTGTTGACTACCTACGTGTTGAGGATGTAGGAGCTGCGTCTGCCCCTAGTGGGAGGCGCTGCAGCGGCAGGGACAGGGAAGGCAGGGGCGGTGGGGGTGGCAGAAGTGGAGGCGGTGGTGGGGGCGGTGGAGGCGGTGGTGGGGGCGGTGGAGGCGGTGGAGGGGGCGGCGGTGGCGGAGAGAGTGGTGGTGTGGGTAAAGGCATAGGTGGCGGTAGTGGTGGCGGCAATGCGGGTGGAGGCGGCGGCAGTGGTGGCGGCCGGGGTGGTACCAGCCAAAGGGGAGGCCTTGGCGGTGGTCAGAGGCAGTAGCAGCAGTCGCGTCAGCGTGAGACTCCTTCGCCTCAGGAGCTACGTGAGTGGTTTGCTCAGCGTGGGGCAACTGGGAGTAGTGGTCCCTGCCCGTATGTCATTTGCACAGGTGACCGCTCTGGTCAGACATGCGGGAAGCCTCACACCCAGCACCGCTGCTTCTCTCGTCTACCCGACGCCTTCCGCTTAGAGTTTCCCAACGCGGCTGAGCTCCCCTGCTGGGCAGAGCTACTAAGGCAGGGGGTGGATACCTTTGCTCTGGATTATGATGCTATCCTTGTTGCCATGTATGCATTGACTGTTAGTGCTGAGGGTGACTGTAACCTGTGTATGCCGCCTGTGAGAGTACGACGGCTTATGCCAGCTATGCTTGCTTGCCTTTACTTTATTATGCTATTTCTAGCTTAGGTTTATTATATGCATGCATGAATTGCTTGATTTCCTAGGCTAGGTGCTTTCCTATATTTTATTATAGTTATAGCACCGAGCTAGGTAGCGTGCACCGAATTCCGGCTTTCGGTTGCCACCGAATTGCCTTCTACCGAATTCGGTAAGGATCTGTTCGGGACGCTTCGCGACCCGCGGAACCTTCGCGTAACACCTGGTTACGGGGCCTTGTGTCGAGCCTATATATAGCCTCGTGTTGTACCCAGGTGATCATTCAATTCAATTCAATTCAATTTGAATCATCTTTTCTGAGCTCGATCTTAGATCCTCACACTTGGTAATAAGAGCGGGTTTACACGCGAGGTCTTCAACCGCTTAGTTCCGGCCTTTAAAAAACCGCGGGGGCGACGATGAAAGCGCCGATACGGGTATGTAAATCCAGTTCCGCGCAATTTTTCTAAGTCCCCTTCGATTCGGTTTTCGAACACCCCTCAGATTTACTGGTGGAAATGTTGGAGTTGCGACCGTTCGATCGAGTTTCATCTCAACGGCCCAGAGAATTTCGCCCAAAAAAATTGAAATTTGGAGCGTCGGATTGATTTTCTCCTCAACAGCCAAGATCGGACGCGAATTTCGCCTAGGGGAGATTTACGTGACCTACAGAATTCGCGCTCGTCGATCCTTTTGTCAACTTGACTCCCAGTAAGTCGACCAGCACCTAGAATTCGATTATTTTTGTCGCGCATCTTCCTATAAATCGCCAAATGGTGGGAAAAGGAGATATTTCAGTACAGAAAATCGCGGAGTTACGTGCTGAGCATAAGCAAATACATGCGGCGCTCCCACGACTCGAAAAACTCCTTGCGAACCAGTCGGCAACCGCCACAGCAGCAGCGAAAACAGTCGCAGCAGCAGCAGCGGCACCACCGACAATTCTACATGCGACAACGGCAGCAGCTACAGTTAACCTCGAAGCAGTGAAGCCGAGGCTACCGGAGGCGTTCGATCCTACAGTTAAAAGGAACGACGTTCGTCGATTTGTAGCTGAACTCGAAATTTACTTCGAAGCCGTTGGATGCACGACCCCGACAAAAGACGCAATGCGCATACGGCTCGCAGCAACACTGTTACAAGGCCCAGCTCTAGAGTGGATCAACAACATAATAGTCCAAGGCGAGGGGACGTGGGCGCAGTTTCCAGCAGCACTGATCGAATAGTTCGACACTTTGAACAGTATCTACTACAAAACACGACGCAACAAGCCAACTAGTGGCATGGGGCGATTGGCACCACCCACGACTGCCGACCCAATGGAGAACGACGAGGGCGATGTGGAGCAGCGGCTAGCAAATAATGAGACGTGCAAATTTTGCGGCGCTACAGGACATCGTATCTTGGCGTGTTGGAAAATGAAGAGAAGGTGTGCGGAGCTGAAGGACAAGAACAGTGCGGCACCGCCAAAGCAGAAAACGGACAACGTGGCAACTTCGGAGAGGGCGGAAAAGGGAGAATATGGTGGCGCAAATTTAAAACGTCACGACCAGCCGGCACCAGGGGAAATCGCCGAGACTAATGGAGGATCCGCGAAACAAGACCCTGCACCGACTGGGAAACTCTAGCCGTTTACCCCGACAAGTAAGAATATTACTTCTCGTGGGTTTCAAGCCTTTATTAAGGGAGAGTCAGAAATTAAACCGGTACCGGGTATTATGGGGACCCTACTCCAGAGCGCTAATACGGGTCGAGCGTTTCGAGGAGTTAATATTCTCTCCCAGCAGCACTGTTTAAAGGCTCCCTGTTGCCCACAGATGAAGCCTACACAGCTGCAAAGGCTTAGTGGAAGGTTCCAGGCCCAAGAGAAGCCGAATTGGCCTCAGATAAATCCTTCTAACCTTTTTGAGTTGAAAATTGATACTGAAGCTGCATCTTCGAGACAGGACCTAGGGATAACATATTCGACGTACCCTACGATCCTATAACCGATACCATCTACGGATACTCGGAGCAGCAACAACCACTAGTACTCGAGGTGATCTGCAACGGGCGTCGCCTCCAGGCCCTGGTGGACAGTGGTGCGTCCCACTCGATGTGCGACCGCGGGACGTTGGAGAAAATTGGAGAATCCTCAGAAGAAACCCAGTTTATAGCAACGATGGTGGAAGCAGACGCTAGTGACCAAGTAGTCGGAGCAGTACTGATGCAACATCATGAACACAGTTTGCAGCCCATCGCCTACCTCAGTAAGAAGCTGTTACAGTGGGAGAAAGACTTAGCTGTAAGGAAGGGTTCAAGAAAGATTTGGGTACCGAATTACGCCCCGCTACGGCGGATCCTATTGGAGGAGTTTCACGACGTCCCTTACGCGGGACATTTCGGGAGCAACAAGACGTTAGCAGGGATAGCGAAGTATTACTACTGGCCCGGGATGGCAGCAGACGTGCAGCAGTTTGTCACCTCATCCGACACGTGCCAGCGGATGAAGAGCAGCAAGCAGAAAAAAGCAGGGTTACTTCAGCCTCTACCCATACTGGAGCAGCCATGGCAGGTCGTTAGCCTCGACTTTATAACAGGACTTCCTTCGACCTCACGGGGGCACGATTCCATCCTCCTAGTCATCGATAAGTTCTCCAAAATGGGTCACTTCATACCGACCAACGCCACAGCTGCAGCTGAAGCAACTGCTCGCCTCTTCTTCGACCGCGTCATCACCATCCACGGCATCCCCGCTACACTCATCTCAGATAGAGACCAGAAATTCACCAGTAAGTTCTGGAAGGAGCTCATGGGACTGTTGGGGACAAAACTTGCAATGTCTTCAGCATACCACCCACAGACTGACGGACAAACAGAGCGACTCAATCAAGTGGTTGAACAGTTACTGCACACAGCTTGCAACGATGATGTCAGCCACTAGGACACACAGTTACCGACCCTAGAGTTCGCTTACAACAACGCATCACATGCGGCCACAGGCAAAACTCCTTTCGCCCTGTGTTACGGACGGGAACCACTCACACCACAGCAGCCAACCACACCGGCACACGTCCAAGCCGCACATGACTTCGTCACCACCATGCAGCAGCTATGGGAGAAGACTCAGCGACGTCTCACCACGATGCAGAACTCCTAGAAGCAGTATGCCGATCGTCAGCGACAAGATCATTCAGTAGCAGTCGAAGAGCAGGTGCTTCTTGACACGCGCAACTTGAACCTGTCTCACCTCCCATCCAAACTCCGGCCTCACTTCTGTGGTCCTTTTCTCGTTGAGGCACAGGTGACACCAGTAACATTCCGCTTGCGCTTACCAGATACATGGAAGCTTCACAACGCTTTCCATGTTCAGCTACTGAAGCCCTACAAGGACCCCAACCAACAGTTCCAGGGATGGCAGCTACCGCCACCACCACCTGTTCTCATACAGGATGAACCCGAGTACGAAGTGGATCGTGTTCTCACTCATCGGCGCTGCGGCAGCAAGACCCTCGAATTCCTGATTCACTGGAAGGGATACGACCCCACTGAGGACAGTTGGGTTGCAAAAGCTGATATGGGCAACGCACGCCATGCTCTAAAGGACTATCTTTTCAAGCGGGGTGTATCTCACGCCACCCAGCTTTGAGGGGGGGACGTGTGAGAGTACGACGGCTTATGCCAGCTATGCTTGCTTGCCTTTACTTTATTATGCTATTTCTAGCTTAGGTTTATTATATGCATGCATGAATTGCTTGATTTCCTAGGCTATGTGCTTTCCTATATTTTATTATAGTTATAGCACCGAGCTAGGTTGCGTGCACCGAATTCCGGCTTTTTGTTGCCACCAAATTGCCTTCTACCAAATTCGGTAAGGATCTGTTCGGGACGCTTCGCGACCCGCGGAACCTTCGCGTAACACCTGGTTACGGGGCCTTGTGTCGAGCCTATATATAGCCTCGTGTTGTACCCAGGTGATCATTCAATTCGATTCAATTCAATTTAAATCATCTTTTCTGAGCTCGATCCTAGATCCTCACACCGCCAGACCCAGGTATAGAGGCTGCTGCTCTAGGTGCTAGTGAGTCTGCTACTCCAGGTGCTGGTGAGTCTACTCTCTCAGGTACACATTTACGCTGCAGCCTTGCACACCTTTACGCTTGACTCAGGTGCTTCACGCTGTTTCTTTCGCGACAGTACCATAGTCACACCGCTCTATGCACCTGTTGCTGTCTCATCGGCTGACCCCTCTAGGGGCCCAGACCTTGCACGTTCCTCCACTGTTCTGCCGTGTCTGACGGTTCCGTCTGGCTCACTGTCAGGTCTCCACCTCCCCTCGTTCTCTACGAACTTGGTGAGCAACGCCGTCCTTAAGGATGCGTGGGTTGATACCTTCACCCCTAGAGGACAGCGTGTGGTGATCTGTACGTGCTCTCGGACTAGCACGCACCTGGCCACGTTCACCCGTCGACCAGGGTCAAGTCTGTACACACTGACTACTGCGCTTCCTCGGGTAGCTGCGTCTATGTCCGCGTCAGGTCAGCTGGCGGCCCCCTGCTCGTGTCGGGCCCTGTCGCACCAGATGCTCCTTTGGCACCACCGCCTTGGTAACCCCTCCGTCGCACGCCTCCAAGGCATGCACT